ATACATCGACACTTGTAGATGGTCATTTCCACACGAATTTTAAATGTTTCTCAATTTCCAGGTAGAATTATATCAGAATGGATTTCAAAACTGTTCTAGATAGTTTAAGTGATTGTAAGTCTACATTTCTGGCACATAAAATTTGCTAATATGGACGATTTTAGTACTTAAATTTCGAGAAACAATTTTTAAAATTTCAAAAATATTTTCATCATTACAATGTACAATGAATATATTTAGACAATTCAAAGCACGTTGATCCTTACATGTTTTCGATGTACAACWTACTGATAAACATATTAATTAAAAATTTATAATATTTTTTTTGTCACGCCTGCACCGAAATTTTGGTTTTCGACCACTTTTGAAGTGTTCGAAAGTGTCCTTTGTCCGTCCACCGGGCGGTAAAGTTGAAATCCCCAAAGTGCTGGGCGGAAGAAAGGAAATCCCCAATAAATCGTGTGGAAAAGAGGAAATTGCCATAAGTGCCGGGCGGAATAGAAGAAATCCCCAAAAGTGCCGGCCGCCGGGCTCGTATCCCCTGCACAACCAGAAWCTAAAATGTATACCTACCACGGTTCTTACAAAACATAAACTTWTGGTTACTCCTTAAATGTATAGTATAACCTCCTTGCATGACGCATAAACATTTAAAAATATTTAATTTGCACTGTTTCTAAATAAGTGCGTCGAACGATGCGTTAGTTATAATATAGTATATTACCTATCATTATCTTATCAGTGACAATAATAAAATATACAAATTAAAAATTGTAATTTTGAAATAAAATAAAATGTCTTCCATGAAATTGTTTTTGTAGAATAGTCTATAGTTGTTGCATAGATCCCTGCATAACCTTTTCAATGAACTCAGGGGCGTGACAAAAAATAGTATGTGTGGCTCGCGCGGGAAGGCAATTTCAGTCTTGGGCGAAATTTATTTCCACACGAATTTTTAATGTTTCTCAATTTTCAGGTAGAAWTATATCAGAACGGTCTTCAAAACTGCTCTAGATAGTTTAAGTAGTATTTTTATCCGAAATAGTTTTTTAAATTGTAAAATACGTTTGACATATTATAATGTAGAAGGAGTCAATTTTGAACGTTCAAACTGCC